GTAAAGCCAGGACGCCCCTCAGGTTTATTCTTTTTGTACATGTTCATTTCTCCTTTGGCCTTCTCTGCCATGTTGTGATACAGCATGAAAGCCCTCACCAGAGCCAGGGCCAAGCCCTTAAACTTCTCAGCCTACAGAACCATGAGCCAAATCAACCTCTTTTTCTTTTAAAGCACCCAGTCTCAGGTGCTTTAAAACAAAAGAATCCTCACTGCAGCAGTATTGAGAGATGGGAGCTTTATGAAGTGATTAGGTTATGAGGGCTCTGCCCTCACTAGTGAATTAATGCTGTTATTGCAGGAGTGGGTTTCTGATAAAAGGATGAGGTGGGCCCCCTTCCCACTCCTGCATGCTGTTTTGCATTTCTGCCATTCTTCCATGGGCAGATACAGCAAGAAGGCCTTTGTCATATTTGGCCCATCAACCTTGGACTTCCCAGCCCCTAAAACTGTGAGCTGAATAAATACCTATTCATTGTAAATTATCTGGTCTCAAGTATTCTGTTATAGCAATACAGAATGGGCTGAAACAGTATGCCTTGTAATTTTTTCTTGATAGCTGAACATGGTATACTGGGTAAAAGGAACTGCTGTAAATAGTTCTTTACTAATATGGTGATAAGGTATTGGGAGAGGGAAACCTGTAGTCCTATGTTTAGATCTCCATTGTTTAGCGAGCCTATTCCTCTACACTCTGAACATCACAATTGTTTCTTAGTCCTTCCCTTTCTCAGTGGAATAGGACAGATAGAGTAGGCTGGGGTTGGGGTTGGTTATTTCAATTCCCTTAGGTTAGTTAGGCTCTGATAAAACCCCAACAGGTTAGGCTCTGGTTAAACAGGTTTTTTTAAGAACAGACCTTGTTAAGAACAGAGCGCTCTGGCATGTATCAGAATGATTTTTTTTCCCTCCTACTGCCAGAAGCACAGTGTAATTTTCTTCAGTAGTTAGTTTGATAATCTGGTCATGCTGCTGATGGTAAAACTTAGAAAAGCATGGTGGTCGGCCCCCTATGACTAGGTCTTCCAGAGTTTTTATCTCTCAGACCTGTCTACACATGGCCTCCAGCAGTTCATCCATTACTGTTTAGGTTTTCCTACCCCAAGAGTGGCTCCCATGGAGATTTCTTCTCCAGTATGTTGTGATTCTCTGTATCTACCTGTCCATCTTGCTAATTTTAGGGGCAATAGTTTGCCCTGTGACCTCACTTCTCTTATGGATCCACGAAGAGTTGTTGATTTTTCAGTTTGCTCAACTCTTACTTGTTAGAACAGAGTGGCAACTTCCCAGCTCCTTACATATGAAATTGGAAACTGGAAGCCTTGGCACTTACTTTTTCAAAATTAAAAAGACAGTGATAAACAGTCATAAAGCAGCTTTAACTTTTCCAACATATTTCTCATGCCATTCTCTTTCAGACATTCAAAAAGAAAAAGTTTCTAACCTTAAAATAATTAAATGACAAACGGTAAAAGCTGCTAGTTATCTCCCAGTGGCTGTTCCCATACTGGTAGGGCCTTAGATTTGTAGCCATTTGCAATGGGCACAGCATGTCTAGCTTGCAGCCAGGCGCAGTCAATAGCAGGAGAGAGTGAGGTGTGTTCCCCCATCTTCTGACCCTTTCCCTGTTCTGCTCCTCTGGAATGTGATGCTGCCATGTGAGACTGCAAGGTTGAAGCCTTCAGGAAAGAACATCAAGATGAATGGAGTCCGAGTGCCTGACAGCATGGGGTATCATGCCTGCCATGAGCTACTTCCTAGACATCCCTATGAGGCAAAGATAAACCTCCATGTTCTTTATCATTTGAGAGGATTTTCTGTTACTTGCTGCAAAATCTAATCTTAACTAATACAGATACTGAATTTGAAATTCACAGAAAAATCCCTGCAAACCTGCTGCTTGCTGCAAATAACTGGCCTCTACCAGTAACACTGTACTAAAAAAATCATATGTGGCATTATCCCTTATTTAGATAAAGAAAATAAAGGCCAGAGAAGTTTCCCTTCAGATTCTGCATCTAATGTTCTTCATGAGAAACTGTTTTGCATGCTAACTAATGAGTAATAAATTAGAATACAGAGTCAGCGTCAGCCTTTTGTATATAGTTCTGTATTTTTTCAAGATATAATTTCATCTAGTTACTCACAACCACCCTTAAATGACAAAACTGAGGCCCAGAAAGTGTCATCTGTACGAGGTAACAAAACTGGACAATGCACTGGCTTCCTGGTGTCCAGACTTTTGTGATTTGTGTCATATTCTTCACCAGTTTTTAAAGGCTCACCCATCATAAAGTGTATTATTTAATATTTTATTCACCAATTTCCATCCCCCATTGTAGACTACAGACTGTCTTTTTCACACTTAAATCTGTAAAATTAAGAGAAGAGCATGAGAATCAGGGAGATGTTCGCATCTGGGAAGGAGGAGATTTCAAAAGGAAAAGAAGACAAAAAATATATCTAACTTAAAACACTCCCTGAGTTCAAGGAAACAGACCTTTTAATTGTTACTGATACTGTTGACACAGGCAACAAATAATATATTATTTCCATCCTTCAAAAAATCGAGCAGTCTAAAATAATAAAGCCTGATTGAAAAATCCACATGCAGAAAAATCCCAATGGCTGCTTTGAGTGCTCTAGCTAGGTCAAGCTGAAATTTTTAGTATGCAGTTTGCATTTGCGTTCATGCTCCAGTGCATTCAAATTTCAGTATTATTCAGTTTCCTGAGGAACCCAAATATGAACAACCTTAATAAACAATATTTTCCTCCACTTCCTATATGAGCATTTAAGGTTATTGCTCTCTATTGCTTTTACTGTAGCCTGAGATCATCAGAAGGATAATCGGATATGTAATGAACTGATCTTGACTTCTTCTTCAACTGACTTTAAAAAGAAACCATTTTTAGTGGGTCTCTGATAGATTCTCTTTTAATTTATCTGCTTTTCTTGTGTATTTTATTCCTTTTTGCTTGTGTAGCAAAGGGACTGAATATTGATGACTGAAAGTTTGGATTTTTTCCAGGCATTTATTTTGGGACAAGTTCTCAGTCCCTTGGCACTAATACTTACCTCCCACCCCCGTCCTGCCCTCTCATCCCCTCAGTATGACGGACATACACCTACTCTTTCTCCTTTAGGTAGTGGGAAGAGTGGGAGTTCTTTTGACAATCTCTATAAACTTAAGTATTTATAGGAAGTTTCTGGGTAGACATAGATAAAGCCTAGGGAGTTTATTAAGGATAATAAAATTAGTTTCTTTACTATTTGTTAAAAATAAAATATTCTTAGCCACTTCTGAGCCATTCTATCATTAAATTTGCCTCTGTCTTGAAACTTTCCTTAATAATCAATTCTTATGCAACTTCCTTTTTCCCTTTGACAGCAGAAAACATTTTATTCACATGAGTTTTCTTGGTATAAACATTTGTATTTGTGGGAGTTGGAAGATGCAACTCACAGTAGTCTCCTCTCTCTTCTCTACATCCCACTATTCATTTAAGGATCCTGATTCTTAGAGTTTCCACTTTCATATTCCCTTGCCATAATATTCTCAGTATGGTGAAGCTTTGAAATGCAAGTTAGAAGTTCTGGAAGTTACTAGATTGACTTTGATTAGTCGATAACCTCTTTACTTCTTATTCGTAAAACACATGTATACTAACTAAAAATCAACTGATCTATACATTTGCTTGGACAGGTAAGTATAACTAAATTTAGAGAAACAGTACTGGGTAAATAGTGCATAAAAGAATTACAAAGAAAGGGATTCTTGTTATTTAATTGGCTTGAGTTAAAGAAAAATACAGCTTTTTCAAACTTTATAACATGATTATCTTAAAAAGAACTTCCTGCTGAATACTGTAAGATATTTTTTCAAAATATACTTCAATATTAATAGTAATTTTTCAGCAGTACTAAGAGTGTAGGTAAAATATATTATAATTATATGCTCTTTTTTTCTTAAAAAGTAAGGTACTCTCTTTTATGACTTCTCAATTCTTTCGCTCTCTTGTAGGTCCAAGTTCATTTCCATATTAGGCATAAACTCCTGTAAGTATTTCATATCCCAACAGTTTCTATCTCTGAACTGTTCTTTATATATTTCATATAACTTATGACATTTATTCTGATACTTTCTTATACACAATGTTGTTATTATTCTCTATAATTAAAAACAAAAATGCCCTTCATCTTCTAAACTGAGTTTTAATTTACTGAAAAAAAAGATTGCATAGTCTCATTTACTCTTAAAGCTTTATCTAGTAATGCAGAATAAGTCTTAACAAATTATTCAAGACTTAGCTTGCTCTGCAGTTCTTTTGCATTGGAATGTATAAACATTACTGTAGGCTCAGTTCATATTAGTCTACTTAAGTAAACAAGAAACAGTTAATAATGATCAGTTTCTCAAACTTACACACTATTTCCTTCAAAAAAAGAACTTTGTTTCGACAGGTATAACATTCAGCGTAATCCACTGTAGTATCAAAGCATAAAAATTGTTGTGTTACAGAAAGGGAAGCAATAACTAAAGTTTTACAATAAACACATTTTACATTTTACAGTGTTCTATATTTTTCAGAAATGTTTTTATGTGCCTTTTGAAGGTAAAAAAATATATTTTCATGTTATAACATCATTCAATAATTAATATTAGGTTTTAGTTGGAGTTCTTTGAGAAACAACAAGGCATGGTGGAAATATTAGAATCAGAGTGCCTAAGTTTGAACCTTGACCCCACCACTTGCAAGCTGTGTGACCTTTGTCAAGTTACTTAACCTGTGTCTCACTTTCTTCATCTGTAAAACAGGAATGATTACAGTAATTGATCGTAATATATTAATACCTATAATGTATTTAAAGTCAGTCCTGGAACTTAATTAGCACGGAAGAAGTTTCTGCTTATATTATTATTTGGGGAAAATTTTCAATGTATTGTGATTTTTTGTCATATTCAGATTTATAATCTAAAATATAATAAAAGAAATGGATTTACTGTTGATAAAGTAGTTTTATTTCTCTAACTGTGATGCAAGAAACATAGGTAAGATATAACCACAGTGTCTTAAACTATTCTGTCCAGAGATGTGACAGAAGTCCTTATACTTCAGTTATTCAGTCAGATTGGACCCTATAAAAGCTGTAAAATGATAACAGAGCATACAAGCAATGACCCATATTGCTTTGTGGAATTTTATGCACACAGAGATGCAGCTGCTGCATTAGCTCCTATGAATGGGAGAAAAATTTTGGGAAAGGAGGTCAAAGTAAACTGGGCAACCACAGCAAGTAGCCAGAAAAAAGATACTTCCAATCACTTCCATGTGTTTGTTGGGGATTTGAGTCCAGAAATTACAACAGAAGATATCAAATCAGCATTTGCCCCTTTTGGTAAAATATGGGATGCCTGGGTAATTAAAGGCATGGCAACTGGAAAATCCAAAGGCTATGGTTTTGTATCTTTTTATAATAAACTGGGTGCAGAAAATGCCATTGTGCATATGGGAGGTCAGTGGTTGGGTGGTCGTCAAATCAGAACCAATTGGGCCACACATAAACCACCGGCACCTAAAAGTACACAAGAAAACAACACTAAGCAGTTGAGATTTGAAGATGTAGTAAACCAGTCAAGTCCAAAAAATTGTATTGTGTACTGTGGAGGAATTTCATCTGGATTAACAGATCAGCTTATGAGACAAACATTCTCACCATTGGGACAAATTATGGAAATAAGAGTTTTCCCAGAAAAGGGCTATTCATTTGTCAGATTTTCAACCCATGAAAGTGCAGCCCGTGCCATTGCTTCGGTGAACGGTACTATGATTGAAGGACATGTGGTTAAATGCTATTGGGGTAAAGAATCTCCTGATATAACTAAAAACTTCCAACAGGTCGACTATAGTCAGTGGGGCCAGTGGAGCCAAGTGTATGGAAACCCCCAACAGTATGGACAGTATATGGCAAATGGGTGGCAAGTACCACCTTATGGAGTGTACGGACAACCATGGAATCAACAAGGATTTGGAGTAGATCAATCACCTTCTGCTGCTTGGATGGGTGGATTTGGAGCTCAGCCTCCCCAAGGACAAGCTCCTCCCCCTGTAATACCTCCTCCTAACCAAACTGGATATGGTATGGCAAGTTACCAAACACAGTGAGCTGGGACTCTAAAAAAAAAAAATTGTAATTCAAGATAGGCTTCGATTTCCTGTGACACTCTGAAGACATGAAAGTAGACATCAGAAAATGAAAATATTTATTTTAAAAATTGAAATGTTTGGAACCTTTAGCACAGATTTGCTTTGGTGAAGGACACATGTCTTCTAGTTCTGCCTTTTACAGTTTTTGTTCATGATGGATATGAACATGATTTTTTTGTGTGTACAAAAACTAAAATAAAGTCAATAAAGACAAAAGTGGCAGGCTTTTTTTTGGTCAATTGAAATATACGCACAAAAGTTATATATGTATATATATAAATATATATACATCTTCTTTAGTCTCATATATATGACTAAGAATATGTTTTATAAAAAGTATAAATCTCTCCAATACTACTATCTATTCCTCTTATAAACATCCTTATAATCCCATTTTCCAGAGGTTTGCTACATATTCCCCCTAGTTTTTTATATGCCATGTAAGCACAGCTATGTGTTCATATATATGCATACACAGGATATTTTTTCTCATAAAATTGGGATTTGCCATGCATAATGATCTTCTGTTGTGTTTTTTTTTCATATCACATACATCTTATTTGATTAATATATATAGACTTCACCTTGTTCTTTTCTATTTTTTTGTGAAAATTGAGAAGCATGTAAAAACATATATATAATTATATATGTAGCCATATAGTGAATCCACACATCCATTACTCAGGTTAAGAAGAACATTGCCATTATGTCAGAAACCCTATCTAATAGCTACCATAGTGTTCCAGTTTATGTCTGTACCTTAATTCATTTCACAATCACTTATTAGATATTTAAGTTGCTCCTAATATTTTGCAGTTACTAATAATGCTGTAATGAACATCCTCTATTTTACTTTTACATTATCATGTAGCTGTGCCTACAGGACAGATTCTTAGAAGTGAGATTTGTAGGTCACAGAATGTATACTTTTCAGATTTGAACAGGAAAAACTAAATTATCCTACAAAAATTTGTATAAATTTATATATCTACCGACAATAAAATAGAGTTTGTTTCCTCAGACCCAGCATATATTCAACAGTTGTTTTCAGTATTTTTAATTTTTCTAATCGGATTATAGAAAAATATTTTAATTTCTATTTCTTAGCTGATTGAAGTTTAGCACAATTTCATGTATTTATTATGTATTCGTATTTCTTTGATACATTGCCCATTTATATACAAAACCCATTGAAACTATTGGATTTGTTTATAATTCCTTACTAATGTATAGTAAATCTTTATAAAACAGATATATAAATCCTTTGTCTGTTATATGTCACATGAATTTTCTTCTGGTATTATTTTAAAGTTTTTTATGTATCATTGAATGCATGAAGGTACAGATACTGTAAGGTTCAATAATTAGTATTTAATAAGCTACATCTCACACATATTTCCTCACAGTATTTTAACCTCTTACAGAAAGGTCATTTAAAGCAGTTGGATTACTGAATCTAAAATTGCATTTGCCATTTCGGTTTCCATTTGTGGATATGCATCTATAAATCAAGTCATCTGTGCTTAATTTTTTTCATTCTCATGGACAGAGAGTGTTAAATTGCTAAGAACTCTGTAGTCTTAGGGGACCATTTTAGAGGTGTATATCTAGTTTTCCAAAGAGACATTTGTATCTATATCAAATGAATCATTACAGGAAAGCTATCTATTCTTCAGTAAAGATGCAATTACACTAGTTTAGCATTAAATGAATTCTCAAGACTTCAAATCACCTTTTTTAACAATGGTGTTTGTTGTTGTTGTTTGTTGTTGTTGTTGTTGTTGTTGACAGAGTCTCACTCTGTCACCCAGGCTGGAGAGCAGTGGCACGATCTTGGTCCACTGCAACCTGCGCTTCCTGGATTCAAACAATTCTCGTGCCTCAGCCTCCCGAGTAGCTAGGATTACAGGCGAGTGCCACCACACTGGCTAATTTATTTTTTGAATTTTTAGTAGAGATGGGGTTTCACCATGTTGGCCAGGCTGGTCTCAGCTCAACACCTCAGGTGATCTACCTGCCTTGACCTCCCAAAATGCTGGGGTTACCGGCATGAGCCACAGTGCCCGGCCTTAACAAAGGTTCTTATATGTTCCTCTAGCGTGTCTCTTGGTATATTTCTAGAGGTTTTTTTGTTTGTTTCTAGTATTTGTTTTATTTCTAGAATTTGTTGTGAAAGAAACTTTGTGATAGAAAGGTGAGAAAATCCTAGAAAAACTGATAATCTATTAATCTGGACACTTTATATATTGCTAATATAAAAAAATAATTGCTCTCTATATAGAGAAAACTATGCCTAACATTATTTTTACAAGCAAAGAACACGCTTTTCAAAAGTTATTAGATTAAAATCATAGCTAATTTTTAAGGAACATGTCTTATTGATAGTCCGTAAATAGAACACATTCTGTCACTTGAATTTTTTTAATTTGCTATTTTCTAATTTGAGTTAAAATTTTTGGTTTAGTATCTATAGGAAAAAATGAAAGAATAGCATGCTTTGAGAAACAGGAAAATCTGGTCTATACTTTCTAAAGACTGTAACATGCTTCATAGTATAATTTATCTTTAAATATGTTTAGTACATTTAATGTATTTTAATGTTTAATATGTTAGAAAATAAATATATTCTATTTTTTTCATTCTCCGCTAATTGTATCCTGCTTGTTGTTTAGTTCATATGCATGAAGTAACTAAATGTTGGCAAAAGCTTTTAGCTGGGCTCAGCTTTTAGTAAGCCAAAAGATTTTGAAAGAAGATGGGCATTCTTTAGCTTCCAAAATGTTGACTCTGGATTTAGCAGCCACTAAGTAATAATAGACTACCCACTGACTCAAAGGTCAAAACCACAGACTGATTAGGACATCATGATTATGTGAAGAAAGAAACATTTGGTTATCTAGTGCCAAGTTTGAATCAAATTGTGTTCTGTGACCTACTTTCCTTAGATCAGTGTGCTCTCTATGGATAGAACATGTAGCAGTATTCTCTGGAGACTACTAACAATTATTATTCAAAATTTAAAGCTTTTAAATAAGTCACATATTAATTATTCTAGCCTGCTTAGCAATATTATTGATGTGGTTAATTTGTTTGAACTGTGTGATATAAAGAACATTATGATGTACAAAAGTAAAGGCAAGCAATGTTACTAGAAGACTTGATGTAGGAAAATATTATAAACTTTACGGCTACCTATGTAGGTTACAGTGTTACATCGTTGATAGATACAAATTTAAGTAACAGTTTTAGTCACATACATAAAATTCATCCTTTTAACATGTATAATTCAGTGGTTTTTAGTATATTCACAGAGTTATACAACCATCATAACTATTTAGTTTCAGAATATTTTTATCAATCCAGAAACAAGCTCCATGCCATTTGCAGTTACTTGCCAAAGTCAGTTCTTTGTAGTAATTGGCCAAATTGTTAACTCACTGACTAGATTGACCAAGGAAAAAAAAAGAGAAAAAATACAAATAACAGAAGCAGACTTGAAAGAGCTAATAAGAGAATACTTTCATTATATTATCATAAACAACTTTGTCAATAAATTGGAAAACTTAGATGAAATTTCAAATGGACCAGTTCCTAGGAAAACATAATATACTAAGGCAAAGAAAAAGACAAAAGCATGAACAGTAACCATTCTAATAACTATTACAGAAAGTGAATTCATGTTCAAAATCCTTTCCACAAAGAAAAGTCCAGGTCCAGATAACTTTATCAGTGAATCGTATCAAAAATTTGAAGAAAAGATGACTCTTCGATTAGAATTTATTCTGATAGATTAGGATCTGCTGTAACACAAGCTCTTCCATAAAATTGAAAGTAAGCAACTTTCTTTCTGTTTCAGAAGACCAGCGTAACCTTGTCACCAAAATTGAAGGATACTATGAGAAGAGAAAATTATGAGTGAAACATGTTATTATCTCAATGTTGCAGGAAAAGCATTTGATAAAATATAACATCATTTTTTTGATAAACAGAAAAATTGTAACTAGGAATATAAAGGAACTTAATTAATCGGATAAGGGTCTCTACAGAGAAACAATTAGCAAATATAATACCTAATGGAGATATGCCAAAAGCTTTATCAATATCTAGAGGAAGGCAAGGATAATGGCTATCACACTTATGTTCAGCCTTGTTCTAGAGGCCTCAGCAAGTGCAATAGGGTGAAAAAAATACACAGATTGGAAAGGAATAAATAAAATTGTCATTATTGGTGAATATGATTGTGTTGAATGAAAATTCAAAAGCATCTACAGATAAATTATTAGAAATAGCAAGACCGGTGACTAGAAGGTCAGTATTAAGCAAACAACTGCCAATCTTAAATCTGAACTTAGGTATCTCAGAGTCGTCTCAAAACTTAACAAGGACCCAATCATTTGTGTTTTTTTTTTTTTTTTTTTTTTTTCATCACAAACCTCTCTCCCCTTCATCCCAACGTCTCAATTTCTGTTAGTGGCAACACCATTTACCCAGTTACCCAAGCCAGGATTAAAGGTTCATACTGCTTCTAGCCTATGTACTGCCTTTGTACAAATTAGAAAAAGGTCCTCCTTGTAATTGGGGGTAGCCCCATGCCAGGGGATATGACTTGGAGAACCAAGTGTGAGTTGGATTTCAGCTCCTATTTGCCTTTCTCAGTTAAGTGCTCTTATGCAGTGAACATCCTGCACAATTGTACATGGATGCTCTGCCTTGATCTTCCTCTTTTCCCCAAACGCAATTAATTCACAGATACTGCCAGCCTTATCTCCAAAATATATCTTGAAACCACTCTCTTTTATTCTTTGTTCCCAACTTAGTTCAGGCCTCCATCATCTTTCATCCTCACTACTATATAACACCATTCTAAGTATTCTAACTGGTCACTCCATTTCTGGTCCTGCTCCCTCAATTTCCCCACAGCACATGAAGTGATCATCTTAAGACATAAGTTCAATAACATTCCTCTCCTGCTGAAATTCTTTAATGGGTTCCCATTTAACTTAGTTAAAAAGTCTCAGCTCTTTACTCTGAACCACAAGGCCGGGCATGATCTGATCCTATGTTTCTCGCCTCCTCTGTGCCACTGCCTCTTTGCTCTTCTGCTCCAGCTGTGTTAATCTTATTTCAGTTTAATTAACACACCAAAGACCTTTCCTGCTTCAGGCTTTTGCACACGCTGGTCCCTTTTTGTGAATAATAAAAATAATATTATAATAATAACTCGTATTTGTTTTGCTCATGCTATGTGCCATGTACTGTTGGAAGTACCCTACAAACATTAACACATTTTATCTTTAGAACAGTTGTATGAAATAGGTAATACTGCTCTCCACATTTCACAGATGAGGAAACAAAGGCACAGGGAGGTTACATAAGTTGTCCAAGGTCTCACAACCTGTAATCAGTGAAACCAGAATCAGCTTCTTCACATTCTTTGTACAGCAGCCTCTTCTCATCCTCCAAGTCTCAGCATATTAGTCCTGTACCTGGGGAGGCCTTTCCTGACCACTATATCCAGGATAGGTCCCACTGTTAGTTGCTATCTCAGCCTGTGTCCTTCATAGTGTGGACTACAACTTACTATTATTATTTTTATCTTTTTTCCCATCTTCCCCACTAAAACATAAGTTCCATGAAGACAGAAATGTAATATACAGGCATCGATATGCTAAACACTTTAAAATGTAAAATGATGAATGAGAACACCTTTTCAACATCTAGCACATTATTTCTGATGCAATAACCACTCAATAAATGTTCACTGAATTTATGAGTGTTATCCCTTTCCTATTCAGATACTCACCTGAAGAAAAATAAATCTTTTATAATTTAAAACAAAATTTAAAAAACACTACTAAAATTACTCGTCAATCAGCTTAACATGTTTTACTAGAAACATCCTACCTATGCCTGATTCACTGTAAAGAGTATAAACCAGACAGGAAGCAATGTGTCTTGCTGTGAATTAAAGATAAGCTAATAAAATTATCTTTTTTAAAAAACTCACTGTTGAGATCTTATTCTGATTCTGGGCTACATTCCATGGGTTTAGCAGCAATTATTACTTTATTTCAACTGTAGATTTACTTAGGAAATAAACAGTATTTTCTTATTGATTGAATGACTTTATTCTGATGTTCATCTAGGTTTCTTATCAAGCATGGCAGAAACTAATTGGTTAATTGAAGTAAAGGGAATTACTTGAGAAGGTTTCAGGGTCACAGAACTTAGAGGAGACTGGAGCATGAATGGCTTGGAAATAGGCAGGAACCAAAAGGTTACCAGAGCCAAAAAGCATGAAGTGGCACTGGAGTTACTGCCTCCTCGCTGGGTGGCCTGCTCAGGTGCCACCACCACTGCTGCGAGTCCTCCAGTGCTGGCATCACTCATACATACGAAATGCCATGAGAATCATCTGACTTACCTCACTCATGTGCTGGGCTGCCCAAGTCTTAATTCTCACTTTAGGACTACACAGTTAATTCCCCAAAAATAAACTGGTGAAGGGTCTTTTACATAGGGAAAAGCAGAAACATATGTTTTGATCTTTTACAAATAATTTTGAATTTTGTTAATGGCATGGGTTTTACCCAAGCATACAGCTCACAACATTACAAGGGACTTTACTCTTACTTTAGTCAAAACCCTTACTTTGAATTAGGCATTAAACAAGAAATAAAAGTGAGTATTGTCATTGAAGAGTGAAATATTAATATATGATGAACCTTTGTGAATAAGCCATGTGTGAGACAGCCTTGTCGAAATCAAAAGGTAAGACTGCCATCCACACTCTTTGTAGAACTAGAGAGGAGTGTTGCATTCAGGTCATGATCCAGCTGTATTTTCAGTTACCTAACTAGCCTCTTCACATGGTTTCCCACGTGCATGCATTTAATTTGGGGCATTCTGAGTTTGAGCTCAAACTCAACATGTATAAAACTGAACTCATCTCTTCCACACCTGCTACTTCTCCTGTTTTCCCAATATTGATAAATGTACCACTATCCAATCTGGTCACACAATCCAGAAACTCAGGATTCATAGATGACCATTCTATATTTCACCCTACACATGCGGTCATACCACTACATTCTGTTAATTCTTCCTCCATCTTGCTTTCTGAATGTGTGCCTTCATCCCTTCCCTTTTGCCAGCATCTTGGTTCAAATTCATGGTGTCTGTATTTTTCACCACCCAACTTATCTTGCAGTTTAGCTTAATTTTAGTAGATCCCATTGTTGCCAGTAAGCCAGTTCAGGTTCTTGTTTTTGCTTCACAAAATAATTTCGGAATGAGTCTAAAGTAAGAGTAACCAAAGAAGTTTATTGCAAAGCAAAGAAGTTTATTGCAAAGCACTTTGAGAGGCAGAATGGGCTGCTCCAAGGAAGAGATAGCAGTTAGTGCGTTAGGAGGATTTCTCTTATGGGAGAAGTACATACATACTCATAAAATATGGGTGAGGTCAGGTATGTAAAGGAAGACCTGCAGCTGGCACATGTGCTCAGTATCTACATGCTTTAACAGGCATCACATGTAACATTAGCAAATCGCCACCTAGGGTTGTCTTTTTTACTATCAAAATGAGGAAAAGATTACTATCAATATAAGCTAAAACTTGAAACTAGCTGCATATGTGGGATTCTGGAGAAGTCCCTGCCCTTCAACCTCCAGGCAAGAATTTGTAGCTAATAGCTTCTTGGGCTGTTGGTGCTGATTGGCTGGAGACTGGGGAAGCTACATCAGGAATATGGGGCTTCTGTTCTCTTTCCTGGGCCATGCTGGGTACCAGAAACTTGTAGTCATCTGGTGATCTGCTCATATGCTGTATGGTCACTTATCCTGCAAAAGAGGTAGGTGCTGATGCATGAAGGTGCAAGTGAAAAGGACCCACTGAGGAAGGTGCCCGCTGGGCTTCACATAAGGGCACAGGCCCATATGGACTTCTATCCTCACTTATCCTGAACTGCCTCAGCACGGGATATCAAGTTTAGGCCATTAGTTACAATGTCAGCCATATATCCCATGACTTTTTCCCATTTTACCTGGACTACCTAAATTCTGAACATATCCTGCATTTTCATGTAACTTAGATTTTAATGTGCCACTTTTTAGTTAATCTTTCTTCCTGCTTCAATCCCTCCTGTCCTTCTTATTTGCTTGCTATACTTCTACTCCAACCTTCCAGTCTCAGTTTTATCGAATTTTCCCTTAAGACCTTCCCATATCAACCACCACCTTCCCCAGTAGACTCAGGCATTTCCTCTGAACTCCCGTAGCACCTGGACACACTTCCCCAGATCACTTCCATACTCTTTATTTATTTATATGTCTGTTTTTCCTTTTGGACTGGGAGCTCCTTGAGTGCCAGGACTTGACTCATTCACACTTGTGTTTTCTCCCCTTACCACATTCGTTTAGTGCCTGGTTCACCATAGGCAATGAAACATGTTTCTTTAATAAATGAATGAAGCATGCATCATTGAATAGAACATTTAGACAAAGATGAGACTGTAGAAGACTGCAGAAACCAAGCTGAGGGAGTGCCTCTGTACCCTGACTGGGTCCTGCCTTTTACCCAAGGGGCACTCAAAATGGAGCAACTTCTTGAAAGCAGCCCTCATCAGTCACAAATTCTAAAACATATTCTCCCTTGTGTTCTCCAATTATTATTACCTCATTGTATTGACCTAGAATACAAACTCTGCCTTCTGCTCCCGTTTCTAGCCCAGAACTTGCCTCAAACACCTCACAGTGAATTTGGGCCATTCACTTGTGAGCCTTAGTATTCCTCCTTGCAGAGTTTCTGCCCTTTTCTTCTTGCCATTTGATCTCAAATGACTACACCCTGAGCCACCTTTGACCCCTGTACTATGCTTCAGTATTGGTTCTCATGGTCCACATTGCTTTAGGGGTCAGGCCTAAAGGTAGGGAGAGATATATAAGGCAGTGCCATAATAAATGTCAACCTAATTTCATGAAGAAAAATAAAAAAGATTCATGGGAGAGAGTCCAGAGTACAATCCTGACAATTTTGTCTAAAAGCATCTCTTTGTTTTAATGCCACTTTTCATAGCCTGGTATACACATACCATATGTGTCCACACATGCATGCATTCTTCCTTTCATTTCTTTCTTTTGGCCTTTGTTCAGCTCTTTCTGATCACCAATCACTATGCTAGGCTTTAGAATAAAATATTTTAGAATAAAGAAGTTTCCCTGCTCTTCCAATTGTT